AGAAAACAATAAATTAAGCCCTGATTTGTAGTTTCTCTATTTCCAAGATGCAAATGTTTGGCATTCTTTCTACAATAGGAGGGTGGGCTCTAAGCGACTAATTTCCATTTACTCACCAAAAGTCCGAACTCAATAGTTGGCTGTGACCCATTATCTTTGTAGAGCCTAAACCTTTCTAGGGCTATTTTGTAAATAGGCAATTTGTCTTGTTTTTCCAACTACAGGGTAGCTTTCCATCAGTCTGCTATCTTGGGGGTTCCCTGTACACCAGAATTTCTTAGCAGAACTCTACCACCTTTCCGAAGTGCTTGACAATGAACTCAGGCATTATCGCATTACTCAGAGCTTTTATGAGTTGAGGTCCTAACTAGGTGGTAAGACTCGGCCAGCCATTATAAGCCAAGAGAAATGATGGTTATTCTGATTCCTCTCACTTTAAGAAAGGCCTCTTGTAACAAAGTAAAACCTAACAGTACAGCGATCTCATCTGAAAGGATGTGAAACATTCCACATCTGTAGCACCTTCTCCAACTCTCTATTTTAAAATAATAATTTAAAAAAATAACAGAAATCTGATTTTTCTCTCTCCTACCTCCTACCTCATTGGAAAAACAAACTAAAAAACACGAATTTCTTGAAACAAATATGCACAGTCAAACAAAACAAATTTCCCCCAACATCTGCACAAAAAAATACGGAATTCCCCATCTTCACCCTAAATCCACAATCTCTCTCTCATGGATAGCATGTTTCTCGGAATCGCGAGTGGTCCATGTGTTCTTAAAGCTTTTACAGTTGTTGTCATTATCGAAGTTGCTCTCCCAGTTCTGTTTATTTCATTCTTTATCAGTTTAAACAATTCTTCTAATATTGACGTTACAGTACAAATTGTTCTTTTGGATCTGCACACTACACTGTGTATCAATTCAAAGAAGTCTTTTTATATCTCTTTGAGGTCATCTCTCTCCTGCTTCCTCTAGCACAAGGCTATCCCATCCTATAACATCCTTTCCTGACCACAATAAAAACTATATTAAATAGTTACGTTAAATAAAAAGCCATGGGAAAAAAGTATTAAAAATCATTTGGACACTAAAGTTAATCCTGAAGAATTGCTAGGTCACCGAACAAATCATAGAAATAATAGACAATTTCATTAAAGATAATAACAAGACAACATTCCAAAATTTTGGAATATGTAGGAGAAAAGCTATGTTTCTAAACATTTTATTAACAAAAAAAAGAGAAAGAACAGATCAACGAATTGAGAATGCAACTAAAAATACTAGAAAGCCAACAAAACATTCTAAAAACCCAATTAAATACCAAAGTAGGAAACCTGAAAATCTAAGAGACTAATAAAATTAGAACAAAAATTGAATTAACAAAATTGATTGACAAATAAAGCTTTCCAAATATTAAATAAAACTAAGACTTGATTTTTATAAAGAAAGAAAGAAAAACAACCAATAAAATCATTAACTGATTTGCTTGAAAAAAGGAATGAGGAAAACAAAATCACCAGTATCAAAAATGAAAAAGAAGAATCCACAAGAAATGAAGGAGAAGTAAGGGATATTTTTAAAACTTCCATTCAGCTATATGCCAAAAAACTCAACAATTGAAATGAAATGAATATTTACAAAAACATAGAATGCCCAATTTAACAGATTAAGAAATAGAGAATTTAAACAATACAATTTCATAGGAAGAAATCGAAGTAGCGATAAGTCAATTCTGAAAGAAAAACCAAACCAAAACAAAACAAAACCCCATAACAGGATAGATTCACAAGTGAATTCTATTTTTAAAAAAATGAAGAAAATTAATTCCAACATTACGTAAACTGCAAAATAGCAAAATATTCTATGAAATTCCTTCTATGACATAGGGAAAGCCATAAATCAGTGTGGAATCAAAACAGAAAAACTATGTAGTCCAATAAACATAGACACAAAGAATTTAAATTAAATGTTAGCAAAGAATCTGGAAGAATATACCAGAAAGATCATCCATTATGACTAGCATGGATTTATACCAGGAACAGGGGGGCCAACTGAACATTAGAAAAATCATAAATTTAATTAGCCATATTAATAACAAAATCACTTGGGAGGTAAGTGATGGTTGTTTGTCTTTTGTTCTTAAAGAGGAGCAGGCCATCTGGGGAGGTGGTGCGGGGGACATGCAAATGAACTGGATTTAAGTGAAGGAGGGCTGTGAAAATTCATCAACCTCACTCTCCTCGGGAGCCATCTGGGTTCAGTGGCAAAATATAGATCAGGATAACTGAGAGTATTATTATCCTCATTGTATAGATGAGGAAACTGAAGCTAAGATAGGTTAAGTGACTTGTCTAGGGTCACTGGGTCGGGAAGCATTTATTAAGCACCTATGAAGTGGAGGTACTAGGAATAAAAAGAGAGACAAAGGACATGGCCCCTGCTCGCCAGGAGGTCACAGTGTAATGCAAATGACTACATACAAACAAGATACATACAGGATAAATTGGAGAGAATCAACAGAGGGAAGGAACTAATATTAAGAAAGCTCAGGAAAAGTCTGATCCAGGGAGTTTGCTTATCCTTCGAGTTCACTTAGTAATGAAATTCCAGGTTCAGCCTCTATCCTGTCCCCCCAACTCTATGTGTGCGATAGCAGAACTGCCACAACACAAAATTCTCTTATTTTGCTGAGTTTTTTGAAGAAACTATGAGAGATTTGTATATTTGTTTCAGTTTTCCTAGATGAGATCTCTGTCCTAGCATGGAAATGATTTCAAGCTAGAACAAAAGGTCTGGAAAGGTCATTGTTAGGAAGCTAATCTTCAGTTTGCTTCAATTAAACAAAAACAAACAACCCCCCCCAAAAAAAACCCCACCAAATCTCAAACTTGCCTAAGCCTCCTTGCCCTCAGTGACTGTAGTTCTTTTCCTCAATTCAAAAGGAATTGGCTGCACCCTTTCTGACAGGCTCATGTTAATTAATCTCTCATCAGGAAGGCCATTCTAAAGAGAATGATGATGACAATGATGATAAATAACCACTATGTATGTAGCATCTACTATGTGCCAGGCATTTTGTAAATATTATTTGTTCTTCAAAACAACCCTTGGAGGTAGGGGTTACTGGTATCCTCATTTTACAGATGAAAAAACTTAAATGACTTGCCCAAGGTCACACACATACTGTCTGAGACTGAATCTGAGCTGAGGTTTTACCTGATTCCAGGTGAAGTGCTCTATCTATCGGACCGCCTTGCTACCTATGCAGCTAGTCTATATAGAAAGGAGTGGTAACTACTAAAATGGTATTACTTAAAGGCAGCTAAGTGGTATAGTAGATAAGGCATTGGCCTTAGCGTCAGGAAGACTTGATTTGAAATCTCAGCCTCAGACACTTACTAGTTGTGTGACCTTGGACAAGTAACTTAACCTCTGTTTACTTCAGTTTTCTCAACTGTAAAATGGGGGTCATACCAGTACCTACCTCCCAGAGTTATTATGAAGATCAAATGACATAATATTTGTAAAGCCCTTAGTCCAGTGACTGACATATAGCAGGCCAGCTATTTTTACTACTAGTTTGTAGATATTACAGCACATATCAGATAATGCTTGATTTAGACAGACTGGTAATCTCTCTACCTTCTAATTAGGCATCAGAAAGAACTGCACGAAGCCCCAGAGTTCATTATAGAAAAGGGGAAAAACATAAAAAGATTTCCAGAGCATTGCATTTCTTGTAAACCGACAGATAAAACATTTTAAAAGATCCCTATGTGCATATCCTACTTAACATTGTTCATTGGTATCACCAAAGTACATTAGGCAAAACATTACAGGAAATTGAGGGAATGAGGTTAGCTATGGATTAATTTGGCAAATTTTTGGGAGGGCAATTCTTTGGTGAAGCTGGGCTCCATAGAAATACTAGGCTATGATACATTGCTCAGGAAAATTGAGACTCGAGTCACTCACCTTTTCTGTCTTATTCAGCCATTATTGTTTTCCTATAAAAGCAGACAGATGGGGAAGTTCAGAAAAGTTTTCTTACCATGGTATCTCTCAGCTCCTTCTCCATTTGAGGAAGTAGAGTCATAGGAATATTTGCCTCATCCAGGGGCTATGAGCAGGCCTAAGATGACATTTGATTTGAGGGACATGGGAGACAGACAACGAGTACATGGTTACAATAAGTCCAGTTCAAAAAAGGAGTTCATTGTAGCCCTAATCTTGGTCAAAAGTTGCTAAAGGGTACAGTGGATAGATCACAAAACTTAAGAGGGGGAGATTCAAATCCTCCCTCAATTACCAGCTGGGGGTAGAGTGGAAAGAGCACCTGGCCTGGAGTTAGGAAGACCAGAGTTCAAATCTAGCCTCAGAAACTTCCTAGCTGTGTGACCTGGGCAGGTCACTTAATCCTGTTTGCCTCCATTTCTTCATCCTTAAACTGTGGATAATAATAGCACCTACCTCCCAGGGTTGTTGTGAGGCTCAAAGGAGATAATAATTCTTGTAAAATACTTAGCATAGTGACTGGCATAATGTAAAAGTTACATACATGTTAGTTATTATCAGTTAGCTATGTGACCTTGGGTAAGTCTCTTAATCACTCTCAGCCACAGCTGAAAAATGGGAAATGTTAATAATAGTATTTATATCACAGGGTTATTATTATGAGGATCAAAACAGATAATCTATGTAAGGTGCTTTGCAAACCTTAAGGGGCCCTATCTATTACCCTTGGTCTACACAGATTACTTTCTGTTCTGAGTACCTCTCTAGCCTTACTGTCCTAAAGTGAAGCTTGCAAAATCTGCCCCTCCACGTTCTAGGGTTATCCTGAGGGGCTGGAGACAGGAGTATGCTGGTAAATATTTAATAACCAGCTCCCTGAAAATGTATGTCACATTTTTACATTTAATCTGCTTTATTGACATTTTTTCATAACTTTCTTAATTCTAGGTAATCAACAAAATAAGAAATTATGCCCTGATTTGTAGTAGATCACACTGAAAATTTAACAACCAGCTCTCCCATGCCTGCATGAATTGGTTCTAACTCACACCTGGTTGGAGATGTTTCTTTTCTAGTTCTGTCAGCACATTCTCTTCTGTCCACTGAGGTACCAGGGACTAACATTCCAGTCTCATTAAAAACTACTTCATAAGCTTTTACAAAGTGATATTTATTTTGAAGATACCAAAATAATGAAAGTACAACCATTCCTCTCCCCTGCCACCTACAAACATATTGGGGACATATTCTCTGTGCTCTCCAAGGGTTCAGACTTGGCACAGTTTCAATATAACTCTGGTCCCGCCAAATTCATGTCCAAAGGTAGCATAGATGTCTGATTTTCCTCAACTACTGCTGGTTACTGCTGGTGACCCTGAAGGTTACTGCTTGGTGCTTGGGGCACTAACGCTGGATGCTTGCAAAACCCAGCATGGATCCAGACTCCCGGGATTTCAGAACTCCAAGGGCTCCAGGAGGCTCAATCTTCTTCATTTCTTCTGATACTCATCAAGTCGAAGCCTACAGACTAACCTTTTTCACCTAAAATCAAAGAACAAAGGAGGAAGCACAGAGCCGAAGCCAGTTTTCATGGAGTCACTTGTTAGCTCGCCTCAGGAGAGGGCTGAAGACTTCAGTAGATGCTGTGAGTGAAGGAATCAAACCAAAAATAGATAGAGATCCAACCCAGCAGACACAGAAGGCAAAGAAGGTCTTTAGAAGGTACTTCCAACACTATTTCTACAGCCACTGCCAATCAAAGACGCGGCTCTTCACCATGTGGTTAGCATGCCAGAACCAGTTACAGGATGTCTATGCACGTTCTAAAGTTTCTTCAAGGTCCTTCCATGACATGTCATCATGATTCTCTTGGAAGCAGGCTCCCCAGGCTCCTCCCTAAGGCAAGTAGAATTAGAGACACTTTGTGACCAACCCATTACACTCTCCCATTTGAAAACTTAGCCATCCTAGGCAAATCAGCTGAGACATGTTTTGAACACATTATCAATGTCCCAGTCTAGAACAGTCCTGTGGGGCCTCTGAGGAGGCATAAATTTCACCTGCTTCCCTAGCACCATATTAGAAAGAGTCTCAAAATATTAGATGTGGTAAGATCTAATATAGTCCTACCTGTATAGGCAAAAATCACAATTGTTCCCAAATACAAAGCTATGCAGATTCAACAAAGGGTGTTTTACAAAGTTTACCAAAGATTACTGCTAGTTTACTACTCTACAAATACTGAGGGAATGACCTTCCCCAATCCAAAGGCAATATAGAAAAGAAAAAGAAAATCAGATTCCTATCTAGGATGCAATCCTGGTCCTTAAATATATCCCCCAACTACATGGAAATCTTCCTGAAAGGATTTAGTTCCTGGGGTACACTGAAAGTCACCCATTTACACTAAGATGAGAAAGCAAGAATTGTTCTGGGTGAAATGCTTCCGTGATTCCCTTAAGCATATAATGCTTGCATTTGGGGTCTGGAAAAACATGTTCTGTGTCTCCTTCTACACAGGCCACATCAAAATCTCTCTCTGTGGGGTATCTGTTATCATAGGCGATTTTCTTAATAGTCCAGGCAAATTTCACCTGGGTTTGTATTACAAAAGGTACCCCAAATTTTCCCCTCTGGATCCCTGCCAATGGCAATTCTACTAGAATTCCAAACACCCCTGATAAAAGATCAAAGTAGGCTCAGTCAGTGAAAAGAGCAAAACAAGACCAAATAAATCCCAAAGAAGGACAAGGTTCCCAAGAAAAGGAATTAAACACTGAGGGCTGATTACTTGAAGCTTTTAGGCAGTCAGGTAAACTTCCACCTATATACTTGTAGTACATAAAGATCTTACAATATGGCAAAGAATCTAGATCTGTTTAAACAAACAAAAAAAAAATGAAAAGTTCTCAATGAGGCACCAGCACTTTCAAACTTCATACCTCTCAATATCAAGACTTGTACAGGATTCAGTAATAAAACAATTGCACTTAAACAAAAAATAAATGCAAAAAGTCAGCAAAAATCATCTCAAAAGAAAGTGACATATTAGGGAAACACTCCAGAAAAATGGCCAAACTATTAAAGCCTATGACAAAGAATTTTCCCCAAATTTCTCCAGAACTCTGCAAACTAGTGTTTTCCAAACCAAAAGTCACAGGCGTGAGCCAATAAAAATGCTAAGTGCTCAGTTTTTTTCCCAGATCAGGCCCCATATATCTCCAAATCTCCCTCTGTGGTCTAATTTGCCCGAAGTCAGGCTGATAACTCAGCTCCTCAGGGTACTAGGAGTATCCTGAATCTCGAGGGTTTGGAGAGGTCTTTTTTTTTTCTTCTTATAATTACATCAGCTTGAGCTTTCACTGGCTGTGTTTTCCCCCACTGCCAGACACCAAAGACCAGATTCTCAATTCTACTGAACCACTTAACATCAATTAACTTTAATAAAGGGATATTTACTTTGAAAATATGGTGTGGTGAGTATGTCTCTAGCCTTATTCTTTCAGAGCAAGGCTGGCTATATATGTCCTCAGGGTTCTTGGGGTGTGCTGAAGGATTGGAATGTATTTCAAAAATTATTTTAAAACAATTTTCAAGCTTTTAATTTTTGTCCCTAAAACAAACAATAATTCTTGTAACAAGTATAATCAAGCAAAAGAAATTCCCTTGTTGGTTATGTTAAAAAAAACACGCATCTCATTCTGCATCCATCACCTACATCTTTGTCATGGGTCCTGCATCATCATTATTACTATGGAATCATGATTGATCATTGTATTGATCAGAATTTGTCTTTCAGACAACACTGACATTACAGTACAAATTGTTCTCCTGGTTCTGCTCTCTTAACTCTGCATCAGTTTATAAGTCTTCCTAGGTTTCTCTGGAATAGTCCTCTTCATAATTTCATACAGCACGATAGTACGCCATTTCATTTCTATACCAACATTTGCGTAGCCATTCCCAACTGATGGGTACTCCCTTAGTTTCCCCTTCTTTCCCACAACAAAAACAGCAAATATATTTTTGGGACACATGGGACCTTTTGCTCTTTCTTTGACATTTTAGGCCTAGTACTGGTATCTCTGGGTCAAGGGGTCTGCAGAATACAGTAACTTTGGGGACATCGTTCTAAATTGTTTTCCAGAATGCCTGGACCAATCTAGCAACAGTGCCTCAGCGTGCTTGTTTCTCACTCAGCTCCTCCAATAATTGTCATTTTTCTTGTTTTTGTCAACTTTGCCGATATGATAGTTGCCTTAGTTTACATTTATTTAATTATTAGTGATTTGGAGCATTTTTCATATGACTATTTTGATTTCTTCCTCTGAAAATTGAGACCTCTGTCAGAGCACCTTGTAGTATCCATGTGTATTTCCCTCCCTCCTAGTCTCTTCTAATTTTTCCTTGATTTGCTCCAGCTCCTTCTCTATCACTGGTTCCTCCACTTATTTTCCTTTCAAATCCCCCTTCAAGACCGATTTGAGCTGTTTTATTTATGACTAATCCCTTCCCAGAGCTACTCTCCCTTTGTTTCCTTTTATTTGTTCTCATTTCCCTATAGAGTTGAATATATCTCAATCCCAAACTATTTTGTGTTGCATCTTCCTTTGGCCAGTTCAGGTAAAAGTGAGGCTCCAGTGATATCCACTTTTCCAACCCCTTCTTCGTTCGTATCGACTTCTCCTTGGACTAGAATTATGTGAGGTAAGTTCCCTTCCCGATTTTCCCTACGGTATCTCTCTCCCCTCCTCCTTCTTTTCTTTCTTTTTTAAGATCATCAAAATATGACAAAATCACTCCCAAACTTGCCGTCTTATTTGATTCCCTCTATGACCCTTGGCGTCATTTGGACTCTGAAGGGACACTTGTATTATTTCTCCCTTTCCATCATAAAGAGTGTATCCTTGTTTAATCCTTTAGTATTGCTCATTAATGTATACCTTTCTAAGTTTCTCTTTATTCTTGTGTTTGTATTTCAAAGTTTCTACTCAGCTCTGTTCTTTTCATTAGGAATGCTTGGCTGTTTTCTTTTTTGTGGAAGATCCATTTCTTCTCCTATATGACTACACTCAATTTTTCTGGGTAAGTTATTTTTGATTGTAGACCTACACTTTTTGCGGTTTGGAATATTGTATTCCATTCTATCTTCTACTTTACAGTGGCAAGTGCAAAAGCTTGTATCATGTAAGCTCATTGTTTCCTCAATACTTAAACTTTCTCTCTGGCTGCTTACATTCTCTTTTCTTTACCCTGGAAGGTCTGAATTTTGGCTATGAAATTACTGAAGGTTTTCATTTTGGGGTTTCTTTCAGAAGTTTGACTAGTATATTCTATTTTTGCTTATTTCTCTGGTTCTAATGTTTAGGCAGTTTTCTTTCGTGATTTCTTGAAATATGATTTTTATGCTTTTTTAAGTCAAATTTTTAAGGTGGCCTAATGATTCTTAAGTTATGTTTCTTTGATCTGTTTTCCAGATTGTTTCTAAAAGGAGATATCTTACATTTTCTTTTTTTTTTTCTTTCATATTTTGAATTTGAGCTTTCTTGGAGTCATTGCTGGGGGAACTGGGCTATATTGCTTCCTTCTAATACACTATCTTAGTTCCATATGGGGGAGCTCTCATTTAATGATATTGACCTACACCTTTATGGCCTCTAATTCTAACCTTAATTCTCCTGTCGTTAAGTCACTAATAATTAGCACCCCAGTTCCTTTTAACCACTTAACGTCAATTAGCTTTTACAAAAGAATATTTACTTTGAAAATTATTGCAAAAAGTATGAGCATTCTTCCCCCCAAATTCCTCCCCCCCTCAAAGAAAAACAAACTATAGAGACACACTTTTTCCTATACTGTCTCAGTCCAGGGGGTGTGAGGAAGAAGTAGGCCAGGATTTAGGACACTTTCCACAGCACACTGGTCCTACCAAGTTCACTTCCAAATCATTGTCAGGGTCTATATAGTGGCTGGCCTCTGCCTGTCCTCTTGCAGTATTATCTCTTTCTGGATGCTGTCAGTGAAGGAGTCAAACAAAGAGCAGAATTTCAAAGAGCAAGTAGCTACAGACGACATCTGAGGGTCAGCTCTGCTAGTTCCTTTTGAAAGCCCCCCAATTTCAGCCACATAGCCAATCAAAAAGGCTTCCCCTAACCATCTGGTTAGCAGACTAAAACTAGTTTTAAAACATATATTTATCGTCTAAAGTCTCTCCAAACTACTTGCAATATGCCAGGCTCCACATTACCTCTTCCTCATAAAGACTAATGTCAGAGGTGCTCTGTGTACATGACCACCCTCCATTTCTCTTCTGTCTGTGGAGAGCAGTTTCATTACCAGTGACAGAGAGAAGGGACTGAAGAGAGAGGCTTACTTAAGAACCACCTCCTTCTGGCTCCCTGTGGATAGAGCATAGAATTGTCAGGTGTTTTTTTTTTTTTTCCCCCACTCCGTGCCTGAGTATGCTTCCTATTCCAAAAGCACATTTGCCCTGTGCCCTTTTACTTTTCCCTTTCCAATTTTTGGAGGCAGTTAGGTGTGCAAGAGAGCTGGATTTGGAGTCAGGAAGACTTGAAATCAAATCTTACCTCAGCCACTACTAGTTGTGTGAGCCTGTGCAAATCACTCAACCTCTGCCAGCCTGAGATTCCTTATTAGTAAAAGTAGGATAATAAGAGCACCTACCTCACAGGGCTTTTGTGGGGATCAAATGATAATATGGACAGAGGTTTGCAAACTTTAAAGTGCTATATAAATCCTAACTACTAACAGCAAAACTGCATTTTTTTAGTATGCTTTAAACTGGTGAAGTCAACAAACATTCAAGAAACAATTCTGTGTAAAGCATTGTGGGTAGGCCAGTGGGGCATCAGAGCTGGAAACGAAGTCTGAGGCGATCTAGTCAAGCTTCTTTCAAAAAGATTAAATTCTAATAGTTTACATATACTCTCTCCTCATCTTCCACCAGCTTTTTGCTGAAAGCAGCATAACCATTAAATAGTTTTATCTTCTACAGAATTTTGCAAAAATGACTGATTTTTTAAAGTAAGCTTAGAAATAGAAAACACCTCAAAGTGGAGAAACCAGAATCTGGGCCACATGGTAGAAAGTGCTGGCTTTGGTATCCCAAAACCTGGGTTCAGATCTTGGTCCTGCCCCTACTACCTTTGTGATCTTGGGAATCAATGAACATTTTATAGTTAATAATTGAATTATCAGAATCACAGAAAGCCTAGAGTTGAAAGAATCATAGATTTAGAGCTGGAAGTGATCTCAAAGGTCATCTACTTCAACCTTCTCATTTTAAAAATGATTAAATTAAGACCCAAGGAGGTTAAGTAACTTGACCAAGGTCAAAACGTTGTATGTGTGTGTGGCAGGATTTGAAATCCTGTCTTGTGATTCCAGAGGCAACCCTCTTGCCACTACAGCAAAATCATTTAGTCCAACTTCCTGATTTTGCAGGTGTGTACAACCAAGGCCCTGAGAGTTTAAGTTCTTTGTGAAGTCATAGGGCAAAGAAGTGACCAAGCCCCATTTGAACCCTTTTTGTGATTGCAGGTTGCCTCTTACAGCCCAAAGTAAAACTCGCAAAAAATCACATTTCTTTATACTTGCATGTGTCTTTTTCCTTTGCGAGGAAAACAACCCTATATAAAAGACGAAAATTCTAAGTTGCTGCCAATATTGCTGCCTGCTGCCGTATTGTTGCTGTTTTATATGAAACCAACACTTAAACCCCTCAAAACCAAAAACAGTTTTAAACTTTTCAGAGACCCCAGACTAAAGTTAGTAGTCTACAACAGCAATTCGCACGTCAACCCTTTTCATTCACTTTCTTGCCATGCATTTATATTTATAATGACCAAACAAGGCCCCAGGGATGAGAAAAAGCACCTGCCTCTGCCAGGAAAGTGGGATGCCAGGGGTGTGGAACGTAGCATGTGTTAACTTGGCAGATGCGGTTTGTTTTGCCGAACTTTTTTTCATTCTTTACAAAGGATGTCCAGCCGTGCAGGAGAGAGGGGGAAGGGACACCTTCATTAATGAAGGTGAAAACAACAGCTGCTCAGAGGAAAGTGCAAAACCACTCAGAGCAACTGCTCTGTCCAGTGCAGAGAGCTGGAGGTGGACATTGCGTACAATCCCCACTTTGCAGATGGAGAAACTGAGGTATCTGCGTGCCTAGTATTTTCTGTCACCCATCTGTCTCTCTCTGTCCATCCATCCATCCATCCATCCATCCATCCTCTACCTATACCTGTCTACCCATCCTTCCTCCATCCTCTGCGTGGCTAGGCCGCGGCTGGGTGCACGGCAGACCACACACCGATGGCAGCCCTGGGGCAGAGGACCGTCAGCCCCGAGGGTCTATGGGGGGGGGGTCCCCGGAATGAACTTTGCCCCCCTTCCTCGCTCCCCCCCACCCCCTGCGGCGCCTCTGCCCTCTCGGGCGGCCTGCCTCGCGCAGGGCCGTTTCTACTGCGGCCTTGGACCGGGCTACAGCTCGCGGTCGGCAACTCGCAAGTGGGGGTGGGATTCCCCCAAACCTCTCCCAATCCCCACCCCCGCGGCACTCCACTCCCCAAAGGGCCCGCTTCCGCGAGAGGCAGCTTCATGGCCGGAGCGCGCAGCGTGCGGCGAGGCCTGATGACGTCAGAGGCGCTTCCGGCCGCGCCTGCGCAGCCCTCACTCCTCGGTGGTAAGGGAGGGAGCCAGAGAGGGAGGTGAGGGGACAGGAGCAGGGAGGGAAGGTAGGCGTGTGTGGGTGTATTTGAGGGGGAACGAAGAGGAAAGGCACCCGAGGCGGCCTGGCCACCGGCGCGCGGCGGCGCGGCCCCCTCCCACGGCGCCCGGGAACGGAAGCCCAAGAGAAGCCCTCCCCTCCCTGCCTGCCTCCGTCCTTCCGGCTGATCGGGGCCCGTCTCCCTGCTCGGCCCCCTCCCCCCGGGCCTCCCCCTTCTCCGCAGCCCCCCCCCTCTCCGGCCCTCCCCGCCCCGCGGAGGGCGCTACGGCTCCCCGCCCTCAGTATCGCGAGAGGTGGTGAGAGCTGGCGGAGCCGCGGCGGCGGCGGCGGCGGCGGCAGTAGAGGTGACCGAGGCGGTGGCGGCGGCGGCCCCGGCCCCGACCGCGGAGAGCTTCCGTCGCGGTTGAGCGGAGCCCCCGCGCCCCCCGGCCTGGTCCCGGGGATGGAGAAGGCGACTGCCCCGGCGGAGGCGGAGGGAGACGGGAGCCCCCCGCGGCGGCGGCGGCGGCGGCCCCCCCTGCCGGGGAGCTCGGCTGCCCCGGCGGCGGCTCGTCCCCGGCCCCCCGCGGGCTGGTGCGGGTGTGCGACCTGCTCCTTAAGAAGAAGCCGCCGCCGCAGAACCCCAAGGCCAAGCGCAGCCGGACCTGCCGCCCCCCCAGCAGCAGCGACAGCAGCAGCGACAGCGACCACGGCCCCGCCGGCCCGGGCCCCGGCCCCGGCGGCCCCAGCAGCAACAACAGCGAGGAGGACGAGGACGAGGACGACGACGACGACGACGAGGACGAGGAAGAGGAGGAGGAGGAGGAGGAGGAGGAGGTGTCTGAGGCAAGGGCCTGCGGGCGGGGGTGGGGGGCGGCTCGGCGGGGGGGGGTCGCCCGGCACGTGGGGGCGCGGGCCGGCCTGCCCGGGCCTCGGGAGGCGGGGCGGGGCCTCGGGCCCGGGGTGTCACATTGAGGGGTCCGGGCCGAGGCCGCAGTGGAGCCGGCAGCCTGTCACGGGCCCCTTCGAGGCGGTACTTTTCCATCCCGGCACCACTGCGGGATTTTCCCCAGCGGGCACGAGGGGCTCCCGAAACATGGCATCCACCCCCACCCCCATCCCCCCATCTCCCACGAAAGGTTTTTGGAACAACTTCACTTGACAGTGTGCGTGCATTATGCAATACCGCTGAGAGATGGGGGGGGTCGGGTGCATAGGTACGTATTAGGGTGCCATCGAGGTGGGCTGCAGACACCAGGCCGGGCCCTCGCTCTTTTCCTGCTCGTGTGGCAGAAGGAACGAGGTTGATTCGGAGCTGGGGGCTGCTTGGCCATCCATGTTGGGTGAGTTGTTGGACTGTTAAGCTCCTGGCTTGCCCCACTGATCTGATTTCATAATAGCGTTTCGTGGATTTCACGGGTCCGCTGGCAGGGGGCGATACCGGACCTTGACTCAAGGCAGGGCCGTGGACCTCTCAACCTAGACCAGTCTCCGAGATTCATCAGCTATTCCTGGGGGGCGGGGGTGAGCCTTTAGGTGGCCTCTTTCGCAGAGAAGTGAGGATGTGTGAAGGCAGTAGTGGTCTAGGATTGGGGGAGGAGAAAACAGCTTTCTAGCCTGATCTTTAGACGCCTCTTAAAAAAGGTGTTTAACATCCCATCTCCTTTCCTTTATTACCGCTCTCCCTTACGGTGTGTGAAGAGAAGACATCCCATTTAATTCAGAAGAGATACTAGTTTAAATACGATCTTTTTTTGTTTGGTGGCCATCTGTTTCATGAATACCAGTTTTCTCATAGGTAGCTGACCTCTGATTTCTGTCTTTAATATATTGAAATAATAAAACAGAAAAACAAAAGGCATTAGTAGACTAGGATAGTCCTGTAAATTAGTACTACCTTGTACTTTATCTGATAACTGAATGGGTTTTGCGAGGCCAAAGAGAATTCATTTTCAGAACAAAAAAAAAAACCCAACAACAAAACCAGGGCTGTAAATAAGGGCAGTGAAGTAATAATTTTCTAGGAAGTATATCATAGGCCCATTTAATCAGCAAGCAGTATATTCAACCCTTGCTGTTTGTCAGCTAGCGTACTAGACCTTAGCTATACAAAACCCAAAATGATGCAGTCCTTTCAAACAGCTTTCAGGTTATTGGGCCCAAGCTCAGTATACCCCATATACGTATATATGGAATAAATATGAAATAAACACAAGTTGGGTTGGAGATGGAGGGAACTGTCAGTTAAGGATGTCAGGAAAAGCATGGGTAAGAAACTGCTTGAGCTGATTTTTCCAGGAAACGGGGTTTTGAGGAGGCAATGGTGAAGGAAAGCATTTTAGGCATGAGAGACAGCCAATGTATTGGACAACAGAGAAGGGAGGACATCTCTAAAGCAAACCAAGAAAAACTTGATGGCTGGACCATGGAGTGAAGAAAGGGTATGATGAAGCTGTCAAGGTAGGTTGTGGCTGTGTTGTTCAAGGATTTTAAAATCTGAGCAGATGAGTTTATATTTGATTCTTGGTCCAATAGGAAGCCACTGAGGTTTATTGGGTAGGGAAATGACATCATTCCATTAAAGGAAATCCCTCACAGTTTTGTGAAGGATGTATTGGAGTGGGGAAAAACCAGTTGGGGGCTGTTGCAACTGTACAGAAAAAAGATGATAAGAGATTGAGATAAGGCAGGGCTCGGAGTAGTGATGTGGAAGTAGAAAGAATAAGAAGATTGGGCACCTGATTGAATTTGTGGGGGAAGGGAGAGTGAAGAGTTGAGGAGAGCGCTGAGGTTAAGAACTTGAAATAGTGGAAGAACAGTCTTGCTGTCAGTAGAAGTAAAGAAGTTGGTTATAGAGGAGTAGGTTTTGGGAGAAAGATAGAGGGACTGTTTTGAGCACTAGTGAGTCAACAGACATGTAATAAACACTTCCTAAAGTGCCAGACACTATGCCCAGACCTGGGCCAATGCAGATAGAAAATCACAGAAAGATCCCAACTTGTGAGAAGCTTATACATGGACAAGGACATGGACACGTTGAATTTGAGATGTCTATGGAATAGCCATTCCTGTATGCAATAGGTGGTTGATGTGGGACTGCATTCTGGTGAAAGACTGGACTGGACATATAAAGTTTTAAGAGTCATAGGCATAGGGATGGTCATTGAACCCAGGAGAGTGGAATGTAAGGTCATCAAGTGAGAGTAAAATGGAAGTTGAGCTGGGCCATAGAGTGTGGGAAGGAACAGTAGTATTGTATTTAGATGAAGATCTGGAAAGGGGCCGTTTACATTTTTGTTTGTTTGTTTTTGGCGAGGCAGTTGGAGTTAAGTGACTTGCCTAGGGTCACACAGCTAGTAAGTGTCAAGTGTCTGAGGCTAGATTTGAACTCTGGTCCTCCTGACTCTAGGGCCAGTACCCTATCTACCACACTATCTAGCTGTCCGTTAGAAATGGTTTTGTCCAACTTCTCCTCCATTCCCACATGTTTTACTGAGGTGGAGGCTCCAATCCAAAGAAGTCCTGTGACTTGTCCAGGTTCCCCAGGTAGTAAGGGATGGTTGGGATTCAAACCTGATTGCAAATCCGGAACCCCTTCCACTGATAAATGTTAGGTTCGGGTGAGCCCTAGAGCCAGCATGGAGTAGTGGAAAAAGCACTGGACTTAGAGGCAGCAAGGCCTGTGTTTGATCCCAGCTAGGACACTTCCCAGCTGGATTTCTGTGGGCAGTCCCTTGCTCTTTGGGTTCTGGTTTCCTCATCTATAAAATGGGGATAACCTTTAACAGACAGGTATTAAGCATGTTCATGGTGCCAGGCACTGGGCTGGGTACTGAGGATACAGATACAAAGAATGAAACAGTCCATACTTTTAAGGAGCTAACATTCCCTAAGAAGCCCTGTAATAGCTTGCTCATTGTGCCAGGTGGTTGTGCAGATGAAATGAGACGATTTTTTTAAAGCATTTTGTAAACCTCAGAGAACTGTATCTAAGTCAGCGACTGCCATTATTACGAATATTGGCTATTTTTCCTCCAGGAACTTAGCTGTCCTTTACACTTCTAGTCTTTTAATTTTACTTCTATCAGTTCTCGTTTTCTGTATGAACACTACCAATAGAACGATTTCCTCAGCTACCTCACTGATGCATTGCTTTTGTGTTAGTAACCAGACCCCTGCCTAAGATAGGTGAGATAGTGTTGGACTTTCAGTCAAGAAGATCCCTTCTCAGACACTAGCTGTGTAACCCTGGGCAAGTTACTTAACCTCGTTCAACCTCAGTTTCCTCATCTCTAAAATGAGGATAAAAACTAGCACCTGTCTTCCAAGGCTAGTGAGAGGATAAAGTGAGATAATGTATGTAAAGTGCTTTGCAGACCTTAAAGCGCTATATAAATATAAGTTACTGTTATTAGTTATTATATAAGAAGACCCTTGCTTTATTCCTTAGAGCTCTGTGGACAAAGTACACATCTTCTCCAAACCTTATGCAGCCATCCCCAAAAGATTCTGTTGCTTCTTCCTTTAATTCCCCACCTCTCTCTGAAGAAACAGTGCCTGGCACTTGGAATGTTTTAAGATAGGATAGACCTTAGACTAGGTAATTGGTTCAGATCCCTCATTTTACAAGTGGAGGAATGTAAGCCTTTGGGGAAGTAAAGTGATTGTTAGTGACAGAGCTAGAGCCCCGGTCTGTTGAGCCTGAGGCCATCCCTCTTAGTACCTCCATAAACATTTGTTGAGCCCATAAAGGCCTCTTGTGTGTGGGGAACAAGTAGCCTTGACTCGAGGACAGATGTTTGTGGTAACAAACCCTGGGAAAAAGTACTGTTTGACATGTGCTCCCAAACTGTTGTTCTGCAGTCAGTCAATAAACATTTACTAAATGCCTGCTATGTGCCAGGCACTGGTGAGAAAAAGAATAGTAAAAGACAGTCCCTACACTCAAGGAGTTCATAGTTTAACGGAGGAGACAACATGCAGACAGCTATGTATGAAATCCCTATTGGATTTTGGTGGCTAAGGGTTTTATATCCCTAACTAGAAACGACCTTAGTCTACACTAATCCAACTCTCCCTCTCTCTCTAAGAGGAAAATGAGGCCCAGAGGTGAAATTACTTGTTAAAGGTGACACTTGACCCTTAAGTTGTCTCTACTTGAGGTTGCCACCTTGTGCCAGGATTATTACAATAACCTGGTTGGTTCCTCTGCCAAAAATGTCTCTTGTGTTCCAGTTCATCCTCCATTCGGCTGTCAGTCAGATGTTTCTAAATGCAGTCTGATCATCCTGCTGCTGCCCCCCCCCCCAATTTTAATCAACTCTGCTGTCTCACTTTCACATCCAGGATCAAATACCAAGTCTTCTGTTTTTTAAAGTGCTTCATAATGTGGCTTCCTCCCTTTCCAGTCTTCTTATGCCGTGTTTCCCGCTTTGTGTTCTGTGATCCGGGGACGCTGGCCTTCTTGCCTAATGCTTGATCTCCTAACTTTACATTTTCACTGGCTGTCTCTCATATCTGGAGTAATCTCCCCTCTCGTCTTTTTCCCTCCCTGACTTCCTTCAAGTCCTAGCTGAAACCCTACCTTTTATCGGATGCCTTAATGCCATCCTTCTCTTGATGTTCTCCAATTTGTTTGTCCAAGGTTTTCATATTGTCTCCCCACCTTAGGACTTTTTTTTTCTTTGTATTAACACCCAGCACAGTGCCTGGAACACAGTAGGCACCTAATAAATGATTGTTGATTGAATGACACAGGTAATGAGTAGCAGAGCTATAATTAGAATCTAGGTTTTCTTGATAAAAATCCAGTGTTCTTTATACTACTACATTAGCTTGGAAGTACA